CTCCAATACAATAGTATTGGGGGACTTCAATACTCCACTTTCAGTAATGGACAGATCAACCAGACAGAAAAATCAACAAGGAAACAGCAGATTGAATCGACACTACAAACCAAATGGATTTAACAGATATCTACAGAACCTTTAATCCTATACTTGCAGAATGTACATTCTTCTCAGCAGTGCATGGAACGTTCTCTAGGATTGAGCACATACGAGGCCATAAAACAAGTCTCAGCAAATTCAAAAGAATCCAAGTCATACAACGCATCTTCTCAGATCACAATGGAATGAAGGTGGAAATTAGCAACTCGGGAATTCCTAGAGCATATGCAAATACATGGAGACTGAACAACATGCTCCTGAATGAACAGTGGGTCATAGAAGAAATCAAAAGATAAATCAAAAACTTTCTGGAAGCAAATGAAGGTAACAACACAACATATCAAAACTTATGGGATACAGCAAAAAAGTGTTAAGAGGAAAGTCTATAGCAATAGGTGCCTACATCAAGAAATTAGAAAGGCACCAAACAAATGAGCTATCAATGCATCTCAAGGATCTAGAAAAACTGCGGCAAACCAGACCCAAAACTAGTAGGAGAAGTCAGAATGTCTAAGCTTGTCTTGCTCTACACATTTTTTGAAGCCCTGTGCTTATGTCTAATTTAGAAAATAATATTTTGTGTGAATATTAGAGGGTTGTCTTTTTTAAAGCATTCATTTATTTATTTGAAAGACAAAGTGACAGAAGGAAAGACAAAGAGTGAAAGAATAGAAACAGAGGGAGAAAGAACTTAAATATACTGATTCACTAGTTAGGAGTGCAGAACTAGGGGGCAGGGACCCAAATATGTGGGTCATCATCCATGTCTTTCCCAGAACCATTACTATGAAGCTAGATTGCAAGTACAGTAGCCAGGGTTTGAGGCAGCACACCAATACGGATGCAGGCATCCCAAGCCGTGGCTTGACTGCATGTGCCATAACACCCTCCCTTAAGTTTACCTTTTGACCAATGTCTCTTTATTGTACCATCTAATGAAGTCTGCCTCATTGTAGCTTGAGTGTGTCCCTGAAGTGTGGCTACTGGGTCATGGTAATCCCTTGAACACTGGATCTGAAGGCAAACTTGACTCTAGGTCTGTGAGTGGGATAATGAGGACAGCAGCTATGGGGAAAGAGCAGAGCTTGGAGTACAGCCAAGGAGATGCAAATGACAGTGACTGGTTGGCAATTCATGTGTAATGATAGGAGGATTTAGGCAGGGACAGGCATGCTCTGGAAGCTGGTGAATTTCCCTTCTCCCCCACTTATGATGCTTCCCATTTTGCATGCTCACCAGGCCTCTACCAATCATGTGCCTTCAGTGCTCAAAAAATGCATGGAATGGCTGGACCCCTCCTACCACAGCCCCTTCCCAGGTAGATCACAGCCCAGTGACTCCCACACCCATGTCCTGGTGGCCACACCAGTGACACAGATGAAACTGAAGTTAGGGTACCTATTAGAGACCCATGATTACACTCCCCTACTGGACATCTAGCTCTGCAGCTTTCTCCCACCTCCCTTTGTTCTCTCACTGGCCTAATAAAATACTACGACTTTGCATCTTGGACTCTTTCCCTATCTCTATATTGAAAGAAATCAAGAACCAGGGCACATTCCCCTGCCATTACAAATGGAAAATAGAAGGAAGACTAGACAGAAGTTACTGCAGATGATGGAGAGAACAAATCAGGGAAAGAAAAAATTGGGGGGAGGGAAATGAGGTAAAGCACTCATATATAGAGAGAGCAATACAGAATAAATGCATCTAAGAATAACAGTTGTGATTACCTCTGCACCTCAAGTCGAAATCCAGGGATACGGTATGATAATCTCCATTTGCTAAAATGGCATTTTCTTTGGATCATCTCTTTTCTTAGGACATCGGAGCCCACAGGGTGGACACTGACTTGGCTTGCATGGCTGCTGGTAGCTGACCCCTCAGTGGTATTATCCTGCTTGGGATTGCTCGCAAGATAGCCATCAGTAACAGGCACTGCAAATGAAACCACAGGCAACAATATCCACTGTTATATGACCTTATTCTTTTGTTTTCTTTTTGACAGGCAGAGTTAGGCAGAGAGAGAGAGAGAGAGAGAGAGAGAGAGAGAGAGAAAGAAAGGTCTTCCTTCCATTGGTTCACCCCTAGTGCACTGTGCCAATCTGAAGCCAGGAGCCAGGTGCTTCCTTCTGGTCTCCCAAGCGGGTGCAGGGCCCAAGCACTTGGGCTGTTCTCCACTGCCTTCCTGGGCCACAGCAGAGAGCTGGACTGGAAGAGGAGCAAACGGGACAGAATCCAGTGCCCAATCCGGAACTAAAATCTGGGGTGCTGGCGCCGCAGGTGGAGGATTAGTCTAGTGAGCCGCAGCGCCAGCCAATATGACCTTATTCTGACACACACTTCCACCAAGGTGGACACTGGATAAGCAAAGTGACCTTGGACAAGAAAGTCCAAGGGGCAAGGGAAGCCAATAGAGATGCTTTTGCATTTTCTTATCATTGGCCTGCCTTAGAAATGATTTCAGGATAAGATTGCCAATAGGCAAACCTACTGCTATTTGACAAAAAAAAATTAAGAAAATTGGAGCAAATGAAAACAAATAGTTCTCAGATTCATAGGACAAAAGCAAGGGCTAATCATACTAGACAGAGGTTGTGCTACTAGGAATGGAGATGTCACCTAAAAATCGAGTTATATAAAAGTCATAGGAAAACCCACAAGAGCAAAATTATAAGGAAAATTGGAGAAGATGAAAAACATGTATCATTATACACTTCATATGAGCATATTATATGTAACATTACTGAAAATAATATGATATATATCATGGAATTCAGGAACATACAAGGACAAATATATTTTGGAGTGTTCTTTAGAAAGTTTATGGAAATGCATATTATGACCACACAATGCAAGGATTTCAAAAAGTTTCTGTGACATACAGAACTCATGTTTAATTCCATTTTCCATGAACATCTTTTTAAACATTTATTTTCTTTTTCTTTTTAAAAAAGATGTATTTATTTATTTATTTTTATTTGAGAGGGAGAGTTACAGACAGAGGGAGAGACAGAGAAAGGTCTTCCTTCCATTGGTTCACTCCTCAGATGGCAGCAATGGTTGGAGATTTGCCTGTCTAAAGCCAGGAGCCAGATGGTTGCTCCCAGTTTATCATGTGGGAGCAGGGGCCCAAGCACTTGGACCATCTTGCTTTACCAAGCCATAGCAGAGAGCTGGATTGGAAAAGGGGCAGATGGGACTAGAACCAGCATCCATATGGGATGCTGGCACTGCAGGTGGAGGATTAAACAACTACGCCACAAGACTGGCCCCATTTATTTTCATTTCAATGAAAATCCAAGAGTGACAGTTACACAGAATGTCAGAGTGAGAGGGAGGAATCAACCATGTACTTTTTCACTCCCCAAATATCTGCAACAGCTGAGAATGGGCTAGGCCAAACCTAGGAGCCAGGAACATTATCTCAGCCTCCCACATCAAGGGCAGGCACCCAACTAACTGAGTCATCACAGGCTGCCTCCCAGGGTACACAGTAGCAAGGAGCTGGATCAGAGACAGAAGACAAATTTGTACCTAGGTACACTGACAAAGAATATGGACAGCCCAAAGGGGTAGTTATCCACTATGCCACAACACCCATGGCATTCCATGAACATCCTGAAGCACTCTCAGTGTCATGTGTGTGTGTACATACTATATCAAAAAATGACCTTAACTGGGGTTTTGGAAATTTGGGCTCCTGCATTCTGACAGCTTTCACAATAGGTTGGAAATAAAAAAAAAAGATTTAGGAAGAGTGAGAGAAATATATGTTGTCAGTAACACAACCTGCTATGCACCAGATAGAAAGCACAGTATGGTTGGTGTCAAAATCTGCAAAGCCCTTTCAAAGCACCCTAGACTGCAAAGTCTTGCCTTGAACCTACCATTGCTCAGCCAATTATCCCTTGAATGTGAACAGGAACGGAGTGACCTTGAGTGTGAACAGGAAGAGAGTGACTGAGCCACTGGGTGAGCTGTGCTGGTACTGTGAGAATCCAAGGAGAAGTAAAAGATCAGGGGAAGAAAAGAGGAGTTGGGAGGGACAAGGTATCATGGCACATGTGGCAGAGAGTATGTATGCCTGCCTCTCACTGAGCACTGGCCAGGAGCCCTCTCCCAAAGAGTCAACTGGTGGTCACTGTCACATGAGACATATTCCTCCTCCTGAGCACACCATTCCCCTCCTTTCTAGAAGGTAGGCTGCAGCAGACATAAGCCACAGGCAACCATAGAGGCAGGGAAAAGGATGGACAGGATCCAGGTAGGATGGGCAGGAGGGTCCAAGGCTCAGTTGTAAGGAAATCTGAGCAGAAGTGGATCACTGTGGGCAAGAAACTGGGACATGCTATGGAGATGAGCGGAGCTGATAAATTCCAGAAGAGTCAGAAATGAGCCTGATCACTTCATGTATGAAGGCTCCTGTTCATTTAAAAAAGAGAGGGGACCAGAAAATAAGTTGAATTAATCAGGAAACCAAGATGAGGGCCTAGAATGTACACTGACAAGAATATGGCTCTCACCTTGTGGCTGAAAGTGTCTGACAGAGGAAAATTGGCTTAGAAGGGAATGTTGAGGAAGCAAGAATGAAAGGAGAAAGAGAAAGAAGGAAAGAGAGAGAGTGAGAGTGAGAGAAAGAGAGAGAGAGAAAGGAAAGAAGGGAGGGAGGGAAGGAAGATAGAAGGGAGAAAAAAGAGCAACAGAGGGAGAAAGGAAAAATAAATAGAAAAGGGAAGGGAGGGAGGGAGGGAAAGTAAGTCAGTCACTTGTCTTATCAAAGACAGTCCCTGGGAAGTTACACTACAAACATGGTTGATTTGCACGTGGAACAAAAGTACAAGATCACTTTGTTAGTCTTCAACTATATGCAAATTAAACAACGAGTCACTAAACACCTAAAGAGGATACTGAGCTATTCTTAGCCAGTCACTCTGGAAATTATGGTGCTTAATAATAGCACAGTCTGAAATGGGGGATGAGATATAAATGCCAGTGATAAGTAACTTGGCCAAGTTCAACATAAAATATTTGGGAAGCCGATGACCTGGAGGCAGAGCGGATGCTTAAAATCAGGCATTGGCTCACTTTACCATGTTACAGCACTGCAGACTTCAACTTCACCCTCAGAGAACACGACGGGGTCTGAATTGTCTCCTTCACCCATACACAGTGAAAATCCATGTATCAATGGAAGCTTCCTGTGCCCTTTTCTTTCTTACCTTTGTGGAACAACAACTGGTTTCTTGAATCGATGTTTTCTGCAAAGCTGCAGGTGCTGGAGGAATCACTATGCCTGGCCTCATTGCTACCAGAGGCTAATTGCGGATCCACTGGGACTTGAAGACAGGTGTATCCCTGTAGTCTCACCCACAACTCTGCATGTGAGACTGGCACCTTCGACAGGTGACAACCTAGTATTCCATTCAAGTGTTTCTGAGGACAAGCCTTCAATGTGCCACCTGAAAGGAGAGGAGGGATTTAAGTACAGACATGAGAGTAAATACTGGGTGATGTGTACATGAATTTGGACAAACAGGAAGCAATGGCTGCAGACTAAATGATGATGGTGCCTTAACTCTATCGTACAACTCCCTGAACACAATGTGCCTTAGGCTCGGTGTGCAAAACTACACTGAATGGCAAGGGGAGAACTGTGTAGGGTACATGTCCTGTTTTCACACAGGGAGATCATTATGAACTTGGCCAAATTTCCTTGGGAATACTTACTAGCAGAAACAAACAGGCAGAAGTGTGGCACCTGCACACGACCCCAGTCACTGCCAGCAGTGCGGCAGGTGCAATCCACAAGTGATGGCATGGTTAAAGATGGATATGGACACGCCACTGGGCTGAGCAGGAACTCAGGCTGTTCTGGTTTGGGCAGCTTCAGACAGACCCTGGAGGTGCAGAAGGGAATAAGAAATTAACAAAAGGAGCAATCTTCCCACGACCTTCCTGGCTTAAACAGCAGGGCAAAGGTTCTGTCACCAAAGGAAAGGGAGCCCATCCAGTGGCTCACTGCTTGATCAAGCTGAAGCCTCACAGTGGGAGTGCAGACAGAGCCCGAGACTGAGGGACAGGGGCAGTGAGCTACTCAGGAAAAAAGCTGTGCCACCCACCATTGGCACCCTCTCCACTGATACTAATGAGCCAAACAGAACCTACTACTGGTCATGTGAGAAACCAATGAAGGCATGAAGTGTGCAGGCTTCAGTCACAAAGATGCACCTGCTGAGGAGGTGCTTTAGCACCCCAGGTTTCTCACCCCAGCCTGTTGCCCACCATCTGACGAGGTCAGGTCCCATCTCATTTTGTGTTATCAGTGGAAGGCAAAAATACACATGGGCAACAAGCTGAGGGCAGAAAGGGATCACCCTGCCTTGAGTGTGGCAGGGCAGTGGCCAGGACTGACCAAACTCCCTGAGTAGGCTGGTTGACCTGCGCTTGCCCTGTAGTTAATCCAAGGGAGAGAGTGGGGAAAACAATGGAAACTTGCAGGTCGCTCACATGATAAGGAATAACTTTGTTCCTACAAACATTCGGCTATGGGCTTAGGGGTTATGGTGAGTCACCCCAACACATGCTGTTTTCTCCCTGGAGTTAGATTCCCCAAGTGTTGAAACAAAGTAAGCAGTAACAGAAGTTGGAGACTTACTTGGGTTTGTTAGGACCAAGATAACCTGCTACCTTCTCTTCATACATCTGGTACACTACAAATAAAAATCAGACAGTAAAAGGCACATTAAGATCCCAGTACAAGTAACTGTGTCACACAGTGTCTGACTGGAATGCTACAGGTAAATTTACATGCATTGGGAGAGTGAGTGTCTGATTCAGGAATATCAAGGGAGGCAAAAAAAGGTAAGTCTTTTTGTTTGTTTGTTTTTGACAGGCAGAGTGGACAGTGAGAGAGAGAGACAGAGAGAAAGGTCTTCCTTTTCCGTTGGTTCACCCCCCAATGGCTGTTGCGGCCGGTGTGCTGTGGCCAGCACACCGCGCTGATCCGAAACCAGGAGCCAGGTGCTTCTCCTGGTCTCCCATGCAGATGCAGGGAGCACTTGGGCCATCCTCCACTGCACTCCCGGGCCACAGCAAGAGAGCTGGACAGGAAGAGGAGCAGCCGGGACAGAATCTGGCGCTCTGACTGGGACTAGAACCTGGTGTGCTGGCGCCACAGGCAGAGGATTAGCCTATTGAGCTGCGGCGCCAGCCAGTTTTTTTGTTTTTTAAAGATTTATTTATTTATTTATTTTTTGAAATGCAGAGTTAGAGAGAGAGAGAGAGAAAGAGCGGCCATTAGTTGAAGTTGAAGCAGCTGGGACACAAACTGATACCCAATGGGATGCCAGTGTTGTAGGTGGTGGCTTAACCTGTTTTACCACAGTGAGGACCACAAAAGGGTAAACCATAAAGACACCAGCTAGTCTACCTTCCTGGGAGCCAGGGGATCCCACTCTCTTAGTTTCTCTGTGTTTTGGCAGGATATCACGTACACTTACTCTGTCCTGGGTCTGTGCAAACCCTTAGACTACCTTAAGAACCCCCCACCCCCCCATGTCACAACCACCAGTAGCTTCAGTGGCCTCCGGGAGGCAAGGCTGAAATCCAGTCCTCTCCTATCCGGTGTTCAGGTGCCGGTGGCACACCATTTTGTGTGTGTATACTGCCACTAAACAGAGCCATCAAGTCTATAGAGCCTCTGGTCCACTGGGACTTCTGGAGCCACCCAGAAACCTTATACATCAACAGGCCCTCTCAGGCCGAGGGTTTAAACACAGAGCCTGGTGGTGGGTGGTGGAACACTGACGATTGGGTAAGCTTTCTAGAGGATTCATGAGCTTAGTCATCCACATGGTTTGCTTCAGGGATTTCTAGGAGCCAGAGGTGGATGAGGACACCTGGGACCATGGCCAGAAGGGAGTGCCATCCAGGGCATGAATCTCAGGGGAGACAGCAATTGGCACATATGTTCTTTGCTCCTACACCACAGTCCAGACAGGTACCTCAATGGTGCCTCACCTGTGGGAGGCCCAGAGGCCAGTGTGATGTTGCTTCACCTGCCTTGGGTACCATGACCTGAGAGCACAGTCAAGTGGAGCCAGGCAAGACCTAAGAATCAAGGAATCAACCAAGTGAGAGACACCAGTGCATGAATGTCACACAGGAGAGGCCTTGGGCCTCACAACTCCACAACTCTTGATGGAGGAGGTGCATAGGATGACATGACATGAAATGAACTCATGGTGGAGATCTCAGGGGATACAGGTATAACTCAAAGTCCAGGGGCTGAACCAACCAGCAGACCCGCACTGACCACAGAGATACTCCAGATGCTACAAGCTGGGGACTCACACCATTGAGCACGGTGCCTTGCTTCAGCCCATCACATTCTCCCATACTGATTCAGGACAAGCGGCAGCAGGGTGGACACATGGCTATGAACTAGAGAGACACTGTGAGGCTCAAAGGAGCACCTTTCCATGGGAGTACTACCATCATGGCCAACGGCACGGCACAGCTGGTCCTCATGCTTGAAGTCTGAGATGCCAGAACAAAACTGGTGGCTGACCATGAGACTGACCACAGGACACAACCAACAGGGACGACCTGCGTTGGCTTCACATAGGACATTGAACTGCTCCAGCTGGGGCACCACGAGTTCTGGCCTGCTGGGGTGGCAAGGCACATCAGGTTCACAAATTCAGAAAGTGGACTATGGCTGACCCGTGTCTGCCCTCCGTGGGAGACTAGGTGCATCCATGGCTAAAGTAAAAATGGGGTCCCTCTAGCAGTGGTCTTCTGTCTGATCACAGAGCAGCTCCCCGAGGGCTAGCAGAAAGAAGTTGGAAAATGAACCACAGGGAGAGAGAGGACCAGAGAGACCAGAAATTTGGAACCCAGAGCTCTGAGGCTCTGATGCCCAAACTCTCAAATGAAGCCCGAGGACCTCCTTCACAGGAGCTGTGGGTCACCAAATGTGGGGAAACGATCAAGTCCCGAGGCCACAAAATGACAAATTCGCTCACTGAGGAGTAAGTGTGCCCTGGGCTAACGGACTTCCATTCCCTCGCACATCGCAGGAAGCTTTCTAGGTCTTTGTTGATTGGAACAAGAATCTCCTAGTTTACGTTAGTGCAGCATCCATGGAAGGAATGCAGTGATGGTAACTGGAAGTGACTGAAGCCCAGAAGAAGCTCAGTCTCCATGTGCAAACCAGGACAGTCACCCAGATGGAGGAATTCCCTAGGGCACACTGGGTCTGAAGAGACCCCAGGACCACCTCCACGAGACAGACGGAGGAAGCAAAAGGAACCTCAGTGGAGAGAGCCATACAGGGAAGAAATGCTGCCACCTGACACAAAAAGATGTGGGCAAAGGAAGGTGTGATCAAATCACAAACCAAATCAATGTGCCTCACAGAATCTGCAGGAAGTCTGCTGGGATCCCAGATATATCTGTGTTCACAGGGTCAGTAGACCTACCTGGGCAGGGGAGGTTGTAGGAAAGGTTGATCCCGATCTAGAGCCATCGGGCTGCTTGTAAAAAAAAAATCAAACATGGAAGGTCACATTGAGGACACCCATCTCTGCACTGGGCAGCAAACACCCAAAATTCAGCCCTGATCCAAACAATTTGAATGGTCCCTGTTGGTTCTGTCCTGTGGGACTCTCCAAGTTGGCTCTGGCAGTCACTGAGAAGGGACATCCACTGGTCCCCTGGCTGTCCCGAGTGCCAAGGAAACTAGAATGTTGTGCTAGTTGAAGGAGGTATAAAGGCCAGGGACTCACACCTGATGCCTGCCCAAGAACAACCAGCGCACTCAGAGGGTACAACAAAGCTCCAGTGCTACGTGCTAGGCGAGCAGACAGGAAAGACAGAGACCAGGTGTCTGCTGGTGGGAACTCCAAAACGCCACTCAAGGCCAAAGGAATAACCGAGTACGAAAAACAGAAGCATTCACCCACCTGACCTGGAATAGCAACTGGGGCCACTAAAACACGCCTGGAACTGGGAGGGTGTGTATTAGGGACAAACAGTTTGACTCAAACTCGAGGAAATCAAACAAGTCCAAGGCCAGCTCACTGTCCTGGGGCGCCCATCTATGCCCTGGGCTGCGGACAGCAGAAATCTAACCCTGATCTTGGCAAACAACTCCAATGGCAGCGTAGACAAGTCAGTGGACTCTCCCTGCCAGGCCAGCCAGTCGCTGGGAAGGGGACACCCAACACCCACCGGATCCCTGGGTCTCTCAATTGCCAGGCTTCCCAGAATGCTGTGGTCACTGGGAGAGGCGTCGAGGCCGGCGACTCAGGCCTCCCCCTGGCACACGGAACACCCAGGGCACGCAGAGCATTCCAGAGTGCTCTGGTGCTCGGCGCTCCGCCAGCTGATGCGAAAGCCAGGGACCACTTGTCTGCTTGCCACAGCTGGGAGCTGCGGCTTTCAGGGGCTGTCTGCGGGTTGGGAAGGAAGCAGGCTGAAGGCTGCTGGCGTGGCCCCCTCTTCCTAGCCAGCCTGAAGCGCGCAGGCTTGCGGGCGCTGGCCCTGCCCTGGAATAGCCTCTGGGGCCGCAACGACGTGCCCCGCGGGACCTGGCAGGCTGCGTGTCAGGCGGGGCCAAACAGTGTGACCCACACCCCAGAGGCAGGCCCGACCCGGACACCGCAGTGAACGTGGATATGCTTCATTCACACCCACCACCCATGGGGTCTCAGAAGACCTGGGCCCTGTGTGCCGGCCCCCCCCTCCACCCGCCCCCCCGCTTCAGGCGGCCCTGTGCCCCGGGACTCAGCCTCGCGGCTGGCTCCGCGAAGGAAGACTGACGCTGTCCAGGGATGAGCCCCAGTGGCTCAGCGGGGACACCTTGCCCCGGGAGGACTCACCGAACATGTCTATGGTCTGGAAGATGTGGCATTCCTCCCGCCGGAGGCCCCAGGCGCTGTCACAGACCTGGAGGTACGCCACGGCCACGTGCCCGGCCGCAGGACACGGCCAACGGGGTCCCGCGATGGCTGCACATGGGACAGGGAACTGTCCCAGCCGGGGCAGCTCGAGTTCGGGCCCGCTGGGGTGGGAAGGAAAACCACAGCAGGGTCACCAACGCGGCAGGTGGTCGACCCCCGGGCCCTGCCTGCCGGCCCAGGGAAGCCAGTGCGTGCGTGGCTATGGGCACGTGGGCCCCAGAGGCGGTCCTCGTCCCCCGCCAGAGGCCAGCTCTCAGCTCTGCAGGGGTTGCTGGAGACAGCCGCGGACTGAGCCGCAGGCACGGCCGGGCCGGGCCCGGGCCGGGGCCAGGCAGACAATGGACTCGGACCCCAGAGCTCTGACCCCGCCCAAAGCACTCCAGGACCCTCGCAGGAGCTCTGCAGCACGCATCGACTGCCCAGGCCGCACCTGGCACCACCAATGCACCTGGTTTGTCGAGGTGGGACAGCCCTCTGGCCACCGTCAGAACCCCTCCCCCACCACAGTCTGCCTCCGCAGCCTCTGTGGAGTGGCCCGGGATTCCCCGAGGACCCGTCCCCGTGCCGCCCACCGAAGGCTGAGTGATGTGGTTGGGTCGTGACTGCGGGCCAGACTCCGGTCAGCCTCCGCGTGGAAAGCGGGACAGCCACCGGGACTGCAGGACGTCCTAGGGGGCCACTGGGTCCGCACGGATCCCGGGACGGCCTCCCCAGGGGTGGGGGCAGGCCACAGCCACCTCCGTGTCACTCGCACGCTTGGAGGCCATGCTGCCACCGGGCCCACAGACACACGGGGCCGAGGGGGGCAGTGGGTGTGCGGGCACCACGCGGCCCAGCCCTGGGCCTCCCGGGATAGCGGGGAAGTCTGCCGGGATCCCAGCCCCGGGGCGGGGCCTTCACGGGGTCTGGAGACCTACCTGGGCAGGGCAGGACCTAGGGAAGGCCGCTCCCGATCCAGAGCCGTCGGGCCGACTGCAAATGGAATGAGACAGGGGAGGCCCCACTGAGGACTAGGCTTACCCACGCACAGCCTAGATGTGTACATACCCCAGTGTGGTTGTCTTGGTGGCTCAGAAGCTGGCGTTTAGATAGGCGCTTAATCTAGATAGTGGCTTTGCTTGCCTGCCAGGGTAGTCTTCGGACCGCCCATCACCCACTACATTTCAGGGTCTCTATTGCGCTCTATACCCCAACTTAGTGTGTTTTTTGCGCCCATCTTTGCCCCGTGCTGCCAACAAGCAACATTCAGCCCTGGCACGCACAATTCTAATGGCAGGCTAGGTGGGATACTTGACTCTCCCTGCCTACCCTGCCAGTCGCTGGGTTGGTGATACCCACAGGACTCCTAGGTGTTTCGAATGGCAGGGCTTCCCTGAATGCTGTGGTCATTGGTAGACGTGTTAAGGCCTCGTATCTCCATAGAGATATCTCTGCAGTATCACTCAAAGGTACTAGAACGTGTGAGTAGTGATATCTGTTGCTCTTTTTTTCAGCACATTTTTCATTAACTGGGTGTCAATTCATCTGACCTCTGCTATTTTGCTGGGAAGTGTCAGCTCCACACTGGGATGTCTTGGGTTTTCTTTTTCTCATGGTTTGTTATGGACAATCAATTCAACTCGATTTCTAACTGCCTCACCACAGTCTTGACCTCAGTGACCACTGGAGTTTTTCACACCCTCTGCTTTTTGGGTTCATTTCATTTGGGCCCTGTGCTCCTGTTTATCTTTTCCTACTCTCCTGTATTCTTCCAGAACTGGTAGCGGTTACAAAGTTTCAGCAGTTTGTGAAGAGATTGCTGCTGAAGGCTCTTAGTCTCATCCATCGTTTTTAGCCAGACTCATTGTGCTGACAAGCCTCTGGCTGGTCGGATACCTGCTGTGGGCATGAGGTGGTATTATCTAATGGGGTGTTTCTGGGCAACCACATGACTCCAACTCTAGTTGCTGTACTATGCTTAGATCCCCAAATTCCACATGTGTTCATGCTGTGTAATCTGGTGTTTCCTACCATGAAGCCATGGGCCCTGCTCCAGCACACAGTGCTCTTGTTACTCAGCTAGGGCTGGTGGCTGCAAGGCAGACCTGTGGCTGTGTACTGGGGAGAACCCTGGGGCTCGAAGCATCACCTTGCCCCAGAGGTACTCACTGCCAAGGCCGGCTTCCCTGAAGAAGCATTCTTCTTGCTGGAGGTTCCAGACACTGGCACAGATCTCATCGTAAGCCACCTCCACAATGTTGTCCATAGGACAGGGCCACCAGGGTCCCACTCTGGGTTTAGGCAGGCCATTGAGAAGCTCCAGCTGGGCCAGCCTGAGACTTGGCCTGCTGGAGTGTGGAGATAAGGCACATTTACAAACATGGGACGTGAGTAGCACCAACTCATGCCCGCCCTCCAAAGCAGTAACAGTGCATCTGTGGCTAGAGGAAAAATGGGCCCCAGCAGGTGTCCCACTCCCTGGTCACAAGGTGACTCTGAGAGGACTGGCGGTGACAAGCTGAAGACTGAGTCACAGGGATAGAGACACATGGGCAGGACATGTCCTCTGGCAAACAGCTGCCTGCCCTGCTAGGGAGCAAAGACCTCTGACACCCTGCATGGCTGCCTCCCCAGTGAAGGAAGCACCAGGAGCCTCACTGAAGCTGTGGGTCACCCCTGAGACCCATTCAGGCATCAACTCCCCAGATATCTTGATGATGACAGATACACCTGCTGAGGAGGTCTTGTACCCCAGCACTCTGGCTCTCTCACCCCCACTCCTCAGACTGCTCCCTCTGCCTTCTGATGGCTGGCTCTGGGATCTCAATGGATCACTTTTGTGCCACCCACAGATGGAATGCCCTTGCATGGACAGAAATTGAATGTAGTCCAGAGAGTGGCCCTCTCCTCTTGTGAGCCAGGGAAACTGTGGTGACTTCCAGAATTCCACATAAAGGCCACTTGGTCTGAGTCAACCCTAAGACTATCTCTTGGGCAGTGAGTGGAAGAGGCCATGCGAACCCCTTTGGGCAACTCCACGACAAGATGCAATATTGTCTTCTGAGACAGGAGGACATGGTCCTGTGGGAGTGCCATGGCTCCCTCAGCCTGTTTTGTCTCTCCCAGGATCTACTGTGACACTTCAGGGATCCCTGCAAAGTCAAAGTCCACAGGGCTGGCAGACCTACCTGGTATGGGGAGAGTCCACATAAGGCTCCTCCTGGTTCCCAGATGTCTGGTTGACTGTAAATCAAGTCAGATAAGGAAGGACACCTTCAGGAAATGGTCCAACGCCACAGCTACCGCCACCAGGACTTCTACTTTTCCATGAGAGACATCTGGGACTTTGGCAACAGCCTCAGAGGCTACAGTGTGTCTCCAGGCCACCATCCGGCCTGACCATATGGTCCTTGGAGCCAGGTGATCCCATTCTCTCCATTGAAACAGGATGTTACCCACATCTCCCGTGGCCTCATTTTCTGGAAACCCTAAGATCATCTGGCCCCCAACAACATCAGCTCCAGCAATAGGCTACCTGGCTGTTGGGTTGAGAACAGCCAAATGCGAATTTGCTCTTCATTGTCTTGGAGACTGAATGGACAGTGAACTCTGTGTACTGCTACTGGGTGGAAGTGTGAGTTCTACAGAGCCTCTGGTCCACCAGGATCTCTGTGGCCACCCAGAGAGTGTAGGGCATTAGTGGCTCCAGTCAGACCTAATGCCCAAGATGGAACACTGAGGGCATGGCATAGTGTTCTAGAGAACTCGGGAGCTCAGTCAACTTCATCAGGAAGAGAAAGGCCACATGGTTTGCTAGGCTGAAATCCAGAGGTAGCTGCAAAATGCAGGGGGCTATGGCTGTCAGGGAGTGTTACCAGGGTGTGAATATCCCACAGGAGATGGCCATAGTGTTACTTCTACTGTGAACGAGATTATTTGACACTCTACAGACAAGGAGATTGAAATCCACAAAAGATCTGTCACACGTGTGTGAAAACACGCTGAGGAGCAGCCGAGACTTTCCACTCTTGCACTGTGGCTTTTGTTACCTCTCACAAGCTGCCTCCAGTCACATCCTCTCTCCTGTGTTTTGAAACTGGAGGGAATACAGTAACTCTTCCTCCATACCCACCCTCCACCCCACCTTCTCTGGCGGTGACAGAGCTTGAGATTGAGTCACAGGGATAGAGACACATGGGCAGGACATGTGCTCTGGCAAACGGTTGCCTGCCCTGCTAGGGAGCAAAGACCTCTGACACCGTGCATGGCTGCCTCCCTGGTGAAGGAAGCATCAGGAGCCTCACTGAAGCTCCCACCCCACCTTCTCCCTCTCCTATTCCCGTTCCCCAAAAGGTTTCTCTGGGGGAAAAAAAAGAAAATCCCAGATCTGGGTTTAGAAAAGTCTGTATATACTATCAATTCAACAGTAAATTTCTCTCTGTCCCCCCGCCATCCCCATAACTCTGCCTATAAAATAAAAAATCAATCTTTATAAAAAGGTAAGTGTATTTCAATGGAAATAAAATGGAAATCCAAGCATAAAAAAGAAAGCTAGAGGATGCGGCCTCCTGCTCAAGGCCATTGCATCAGGGAGGAGATCTCTGCAGCCCTGGGACCTTCAAAGCTCTGCATTTCCCACTCTTTGTTCCTACACAAGTACCCTGACCAAAAATGGCCGCAAATGTTTAGAGAACTGTTTACAGAATTGTTTACACAAACGTACAGACTGTTGGTAAATGTTCTTTGAAGAAGTGTGGAGTCGGATGCCAACTTGAGACCATCTTAAGTCTCAGAGCCTTGGCCACCTTACCTGTGCTGAGTTTGGCAACAAGGTGCTCTGTCAGCTTGAGCAGCTCAGTGAGTAGTTGCCGGCTCTGGCAGCTGTCAGGGTCCTGCATGGGTGAGGAGGGCCTGGAGATTTTGATGAATGAGCTGAGAAAGAGCTCTCCCTTCCTGTAACTTCTGCTGTAATTGGGTCAGCTCTTGGGCCTGCTCTTGAATTTGAACACCACATTTCCTAAGGTGTGACAGGAGAGAAGATGTCAAGGTGGGAACTGGCCCCATGGTGTGTTCTGTGTCTCTGCAGAGATTTGGTGAGAATGTGCTCACAGGGCCCTCTAAGCAGCATCACTGCCTGTGTGGGAAAATGCCCACAGTAGGGAAGAGGAAAAGATGGAGCAAGAGATTCCTCTTTAGTAGAGAGACAGACCTTGCGAGATTACTAGACACTGGGCTGATTTTTTTGGTTCTCTAAACAACACCAAGGTTCTTCCTCAGCTCCCTCACCAACATGTTCCTTAAGTTCCTCACTCCAGCCACAGACCTTTCCTTATAAAAATGCAGTGTGCAGCGAGTGGTCACAAAGGTAGACACAGAAACATGCCAGGCACAATGGCTTTCAGCAGAAATAACGACTGACAGGGAGAATCTAGGACAGCATCCACGGTCAGGAGGTGATGGAGACACAGTTAATGAGGAGGGGATCCTACAGCACTGTGTGGATATAAAACGTCTCTGTGTGGTTCACGTTCTTCAATTTTGTATGTGAATTTCAAGTCAATAAGTGCCTCGTTTTTCAAGTCAAAAAGAGGTTCTAAATATCCACTGCAGCCTACAATTTGGTGATTTCTCTGTTGTCTGCCTGTTTTATAAATCTGAGGGGTCAGCCCACCATGTAAATCCCTGCCCTTCTCCTGGCCACATCAGTTCTTGGTTCCCCAGCTGAGCTGCCCCACTTCAGAGATGCATTCACCTTTCCACCTGCCCACCCGAGAGAGCCCCCTTACTTGAGATTCTCCGCAGGTAGCAGCTCCTCTGCCAGCTGCCCCTCCAGGAAGTGCGGCTTCTCCCTCAGCATTGATTCAATTAGATCTTCATACTCTTCACAATCTGAGGAAAGACACGCACACACATACACCTGCCTCAGTGGAAAGGTGAGCGGGCTGCTAAGGTCACTGTCTGTCAGGAAGTGGAGCTACACCATCAAGCTCTTGGTGTGAATTTCCTCCTCTTTGTTTCTTTAGCTCCCATGGACAGGACAATTATAATCTCCATTTTATTTATATTTGTTCAGGGATTTAAAAAAAGCTTTATATATTTTTTTGGAAAGCCAGAGTTATACAGAGAGAAGGAAAAGCAAATAGACAGAGAGAGAGGTCTTTCAATCTTTGGCCGATCCAAAGCCAGGAGCCAGGAGCCTCTTCCGGGTCTCCCACATGGGTGCAGGGGCCCAAGGCCTTGGACCGTCTTCTACTGCTTTCTCAGGCCACAGCAGAGAGCCGGATTGGAAGTGGAGCAGCCAGGTCTTGAATCGGCACCCATAGGGGATGCCGGCACTGCAGGCGGTGGCTTTACCCACTATACTACAGTGCCGGCCCCTCAGGGAATTTTTTCTAATCCCTTCTTTTTTTTAAATATTAATATTTTATTTCTTATTTTTTCAGTTAACTTTTTTTAAAGATTTACTCATTTATTTGAAAGGCAGAGTTATAGAGATTCAGAGGCAGGGAGAGAGAGCTAAGTCTTCCATCTACTGGCTCACTCCACAAATGGCCACAATGGCTGGAGCTGTGCCAACCTGAGGCCAGGAGCTAGGTTCTTCCCCCAGGTCTCCCACACAGGCGCAGGGTTCCAAGCTCTTGGGCCATCTTAGACTACTTTCCCAGGCCATAGCAGAGAGCTGGATCAGAAGTGGAGCAGCCAGATTCAAACCAACACCTGCAGGTGGTGGCTTTACCTGCTATGCCACAGCGCTGGCCCCATATAATGTATTTTTCATTTATACTACTACCAAAGGCTTAATGGCTCTACTTAATAAACAGTTCAAGAAATAAAGTATAAGTGGACCATAATCCAGCCAGAGAATAGACAAGAGTTATATACAATAATCAAATCAAAAGATGCTCATCTTCACTTATGTTAAGTAACTCTAAAGTAGTCACAGAAACACCAAAGCTATAGTAGTATATAATTCCCACCAATTTATTGGATAAAGATTTAAAATAACATTTGAGAAAATACTACATTGGCAGCAAATGAGCGAAGAAGAGTTCAAATGCACCTGAAGGGACTTGGCAAAGTGACTCAGCTGGAGCGGGACAGTGTCAGAATTCCCACCCTACAGCTCAGTGAAAATGTGGAAAATTGGCTGAACTTGTGCCTCAGTTATTCCTGCACAACCAACTGATGCTGTAACTACTAACGCTAATCCTTCTCAGAGCATGGTAGCTATGTAACTTATTTGGTAGAGAGAAGAGAAGGATCAAGGTTAGCAAACAGGTCATTTCTCCAAGAGGTGACATCAAATACTCATCATTTCGGTGACACTGAACCTATAGAACTTATTGTGGAATGGGAACATGAATAATGCTGTGCCTCCCATTCAATCTATATTAACAAATTTCTCTATTTTATTTATATTTCTTTTTTAGAAATAAAACATTAAACACAGGGAAAAGAACGAACTTACTGTGGTCCCGCAGGTGCTTTGCCAGGAGGTAGGCCTTAGCCTCAGCTCTAAGAAGCTTCTCCTTCAGTTCTTTTGATTCTCGTTGGCTCTTTGCCAGTTGAGAGCTTAATTGCTCACTGGTTTCTACCCTCACGTCAAGTGAGGGACCGAGAGTCAGTGCCATATCGATGCTTGTAGCAAAATGAGTATATCCAGGGACTAGGAAGAAGACACCCAAGAAAAAGAGGAGTTAAAGAAAATGAAACCTCTTTCAGTAGGACTGATAGATGAGGATAACTGTACCTCCCAACTTACTGTTAGGAAACACCCCACAACACTTTAACGCCTTTATTCTCGATTCAGTCAGGTGCCAGAGCTCAGAGCATAAGCTCCTGCTTATTGCTCAACATCCGACAGAGTGAGAGAAGTAGGGCTTCACTTCCAGGTAACTTGGCAGTTACTGTCACAGAATCAAAACACGGGGGGTATCATGGAATCTTGGGAGCCACTGCCTTCCAGTTGCCTAGGCCACCTGGCTGATGCACAAGCCTGATTGGTCCTTTTAAAGTCTTAAGGGGACCACCTCTGAAAGTCTTAAGGGGACCACCTCTTAACGTCTTAAAGGGACCACCCACTCAACACAGCCTCCACAGTTGTGTACCCCTGGCTGAAACCATAGTCCTACCTTTTCCCAAAAGCGTCTAAGCATATTTCTCATTCCTCTGTTCTAAAAGATTAAGGCAGGACTCATATCCTAACAATTTTTACTTTAAGGGTTGTCATAAAGTCACTCCAACTTTTCTTTATGTCAAAAGAGACCACAAGGCTTTTCCACCACTGAGAGATGCTGAATTATAAACTGCCCATGATGTTCTTCTCAGACTCTTCAGCTTCTTAGACCCACACAGCACAGCACAACACTAAGCCAAGGGTTCACTTTAAATGTTTTGTATCCCATCTCAGTAGACTTTCTGTTGCACTCAAGGGTTGTGCTGGCTTTGCCCTGACAGGGGCAGCACATGGGCATTTCATTCAACTGAAAGCCAGTTAGATGCCCTTACATCCTCAGTGTCTTCCTCTAAGTGGGCCTGCCCTGTTTCACCATCACTTGACGGACACTTTACACTTGACACTTATGGGTTTCATTCGAGCCCCACAAGAGCCTTTTCAAGATATCAACTGACACAAATAGTTGATGTGAACCTCCCCCCAATACACAGTGAACATCCATGTGGGAAAACTTGCAAATCTGATGGTATTCTTTTCATATTTGCATTCAGTTTATCTACATATTGAACAGGATCCATCTGCAGTTTTTATGTAACATTGCCTGATAAATTTTCTTATTGGCTAAGTCCTATTGAATGGTAGCTGAATTCCACTAATGAGGCTGGTCCTGAACCCCTCAGCATCTTCCCACTCTAATGTGTAAGATATCAGTTTCTGAGATGAATCAAAGGTATGAAGAAATTCATTTTCAGCTGTCTCTGATCTTCATATTCTATGGCAGAAATAATTATTCATCAAATTCTTAATCTTAAAAATCATAAACTAAAGCATCACAAGATTACATGTCCTACTTTACATTGTACAGGGGTGGATTTAGGGTAGTGTTAATAAAAACAAAGTAACAGTGACAACTTCTTGGTGAATTTATACCCAGCATTTGGCAAAGCACTGTACAAATGACAACATTTCACTTTCATCACAATCCTTGAGATGATCATGAAAGTACAATGTCCCAAAGAAGAGGGACAGGAAATGACTCCTCTGGCCATATTTAAAGGAACATGTTCTCTGGTTCTGGCAGAGTGGCCAGTGAATAAAGGGAGCAGCACTTATTACAGCATCATTTTCCAGGGCATATATGTGCCTCATGGGCTACTAGGACCAAAATATGGAGGCATCTGCAAGCTTTCTTTCCTATATGCAACACAACTCCTATCATCGAGGATTTCAGATTCTTTGAGATGTCCAAGAGAAGTATGAGATTAGGGTCTTTGACTGATGTAATTTCATCTGCTATTTAATATCCGTGATTCTCTCTAAGGCTCTTGCCTGGTGTGTGACATTCCTTTCTGCTAAGAACACCACTGTAATCTTGGGGTCTTGGCTACTATATAGGCCAACATATCTGAGACACTCATGTCACCACTTCTGTGTGGGGTCTGGGGCATGCTAAAATTGTACACATCCAGTCTGGAATTTCCCTGAGGTTCAAGTGACACACATTCATCCACAGGGCATGACATTGGCAGATGAAAACAGTCTATGGCTTCATCTTTGTATTAACTGAAGTCCCGCAGTCTAGAGACCAGGTTTTCTCAAGGTAGGAGATCAGCATTGAACTACAGAAGGGAACGTCTGAGCAAGATTTCATGCCCTCCACACTCAAAAATCAAATAGAATAAGACACAGCACCACACTATGTCTGCTGGTCACATGTAAGAATTGGAAACAGACACCTTAGAGCACAGATCCTAAGTGAAATGTTCACCTTCTACATGCAATGCACCTCTACTTACCATATACGTACGTGTAAAGCTTCACGGCCACAATGTTGTATCTGAAATTATGAAAGTCAAATGTATTTTCAAAGACAGATCTTCTTGGTCTTTAGCAAGGCAATAGGATGTAAATACCACATAAGCCATGCAGTACTTGTACTTCACTGCATCAGAGCCAGAACATTTAGCCAAACACATAATGTCGGCAAGGAAATATGTGAACATTCTCACTAATGCAGGTAAATAAAGACAATGCATAGTCTCTCGCCTCTTCTATAAGGTTTTGTCACTGAATGAGAATATGAAATATCTTTCAATTCATACATCTTATTAGAGCTTAGAACTAAAAATGAGATTATGGAGGTTTAGGGGTCATAGTTTGAAATGAATACAGGGAGGATGATATGGAAGGGAATATGGTTTGGGATGAAGGTGTTTCAGAGAACAACCCCAGTGTACCAAGATACTATACCCCTTTTTCTTTCCTAAAACTCAATTCTCATTGTCATTTATTCTTTTTAGAAACATTGTTGATTCTGTTCGTTCCCCTTATTCTACCAATAGCATATTATCGTCCACTTTTCTCTCCTAAGGTCCAGAATAACCACTAGACTCATTCAATAGGCTCTGGATTCTAATGTCTTCCAACCTCGTGGATCAGCTAAGTTTCAGGTTAACTTGCCAGAGATGGTAATCATTTCTAAGGAAGTACGAAGACTGAACAAAACTCTGCTGCTCAGAATCCCATCTTTGATGACTCCAAGGCGCTCATTTGGGTTAGTGATACATCTCCTAACTATGTTCCCCTTCTGCTTCACTACAACCCATTCTCTCTCCCTTGGGCATATTTGGCTTAGAGGAACTGCCTTTTGAGTTTTTATTATCTGTATGTTCTTCCTCTATACATGAATGAGGTTACTTTAAAGTTTCCTTCTATCTATTTAAATTCCTTTGTAAACTTAATTTGAAAAATCAAGAGAAAGCAATAACATAATGAAAACAAAATGTGTGCTTTTTATTTAATCTCCAAAACAACTAAAAAAAAGTTTGAAATAAATGTGGAGGTGTTTCCAGTACCATGACAACTGTGTTGGATTTCTAATTCCAATGACGTAGATTCTTCCATCCATTTTGTGATGTTTGTAACTGTATTAGTAACAACTGATGTTACTAACCTGGTTAACAGGTACTACCAAACTTTTAAGGATGAACTAACAGCAATTTATCTGAAATGATTCAAAGCAATGTAGAGCAAGGGAATCCTTCCTAACAAGTTCTCCATGAGGTCAGAATTCCCTTTATTTCAAAACTGGACAATGACAAAGCATCACCACAAAAATGAAAACTATAGGCCAACATCTCTCATGAACACAGATGCAAAAATTCTCAATAAACTGCTAGAAAACTGACTAGCAGCACCGTATTTAAAAAGATCACTGTGCCAAACAAGTGAGATTCATCCCAGGGATGTGAGGATGGTTCAAAACAGAAATCATACATATAACAATATTACCTCAATGGAACAAAAGATTAAAGTTACATGATCATCTCAGTAGATAACTGAAAAAAGCATTTGCCACATTCAATATCCATTCAAAATAAAAGCCCTGAATTAATTTGATTTTGAAGGAACATACTTCAACATAATAAAGGTAGTAAGTGGCAAACCCACAGTCAATGTCATAGCGAATGGAAATGTTGGAAAAATCTCAGCTAAGATTTGGAACCAGATGAGGTTGTCTACCGTCACCACTCTTATCCAACATAGTACAAGAAGTTTCTGTCAGAGCAATTGTGCAAGAGAAACAAAAGGCATACAAATAGGAAAGGAGAAGTTAAAACATCTCCATTTGTAGATGACATGAGTCTCTATGTAGAAAAGCCTAACATCTACATCAAAGACTGTTAGAATAGGCAAACTACTTCAGTGAAGCTGCAGGATAAGAAAGCAACAACCAACAAGTAGAAGTTTGATATGAAAATAATAAGAGCAATGACTTCAAAAAGAACAAATTACCTTGGGATAAATTGAAATAAGAATGTAAAAGATCTCTACAAGGAAAATTAGAAAATCTGAATCAAAGAAATTACAGAAGAAACAAATAATGGAGAACCACTACTGTTCATAGTTGGGAGAATTGGTATTTTTAACTTATTTATACTACTCAAACCAATTTGCAGACTCAATTGAATGTCCATCAAGATGTCAATGACATTCTTCACAGAAACTAGAAAAATAATTCTAAAGTTCTGACTTTCAAACAAATGAATAAATCTAAAAAAAGAAAAAGAAAGAAAAGTGTGGGGCTACCACACAGCCATCTCTTGTTCTCATCACAGAATATCTCATGAAGGAGGCAATAGAACTCAACTTCTGGGGTCTTTCCAGACTAAACAAATAATCATTTGTAACTGACAGGCACCACACCTGGTTCCTGAGGTTTCTAATGACCTCGCTGGCACTCTAAATCTGATGTTAAGATGTCCCTTTGCAGAGCAGAGATGATTTCTGATTTTCTACTTGACTGGAGCTCTTCTTGCTCCCTTAGCTGGCTTTCCAAGGGCTTTTTCCCAGGGCAGTGGCCTGTGCTGAGCCCAGATGCACAGAGCATGGCCTTTCCATGAGGACCAATGTCCTGAGGGTATCATGCTCCTCACCCTCTGAAAACAAATATACCTTCTTCAGAAAAAGTTGAATACTGGTGCCAGCACTCTGACATAGTGGGTAATGCCTCTGCATGCAGTGCTGGCATCCCATATGGGCACTAGTTCGAGTCCTGTCTGCTCCACTTCTTCTCCAGCTCTCTATTATGGCCTGGGAAAGCAGTTGAAGATGACCCAAGGGCTCAGGTCCCTGCACCCATGTGGGAGACCCAGAAGAAGCTCCCAACGCCCAGATTTGCATCAGCACAGCTCTGGCCGTGGTGGCCATCTGAGGAGTGAACCAGCAGATGGAAGATCTCTTTCTCTCCCTCTCCTCTCTCTGCATAACTGTGACTTCAAGTAAATATAAATCTTGTAAAAAAGAAAATGTTGAATATTCTGCAGTGACTTCTATACTTGGGAGAAGGCAGGTTTGTCACAAGGACAATAATGACTAGAGGCAAAGTTGAAGCTGTACTGTTTTCAGCCCTGGCACTGTATCAGGCCTTAAGATGCAGTGCTTCTTAGCTTTTCAACAGCCCTGCAAGTTAGGTGCAGTTGCCTGCTTTTACTGATGGTGAGACCTACACTCAGGGAGAGGTAAGCTGGCTTATTCTAGGTCACTCAGACTAGCAAAGACAGATCCAGAATTCAAATCCTACAATGTCCTGTGTCTTTTCCACACAGGTCCATGTATCTCAAGTATGACAGTGACATGGGCCTTCTATACCAAGGATGGGCACAGGAGCTGTGGGACAAGAAATTCTTTCATTCTGAAAGCATGATGCTCTTAACATATTACTATGATTTAACAGTGTTTTGGGGGAGGGCAGATGCCATTTTCCAGCAGGTTAAACAACAACTTGGGAAGGCCACATCCCATATCAGAGTCCTTGTTCCAGTCATGGCCACTCTGCTTTTGATCCAGATCCTGTCAAAATATCTTGGGGAGCAGTGGATGATACTTCAAGTACTTGGGGCCCCTTCCACCCACATCTGGACCAGACCAAAGCCAGGAACCAAGAACTCCATATCTCTCTCTCTCTCTCTTTCCTCTTTCCCTCTCTCTCTTCCCCTCCATCTCTACATCTCCAAGACTCTGTCAAATAAAAACATAAATCTTTAAATAGTGTTGAATCTACATATTGGAAAAGCAGAAATAGTAGAACAGGACTTCAAAGAACTGCATCAGTGTCCATACACCAAGGTGAACACTCCCCCTCCACCGTGGACTCCAGTCTATGTCTGTCACAGCACTTCCCAGTGCCTTTTGGCAGTTTCTTGTTTTCCAGGTGGAGCTCCTGGAGAGCTGGGGTAACATTTCATTCTGCATCAACAGCACATAACAGCACCAGTAACAGCTAGGTAGGAGCACTCAGTAACCATGTGCTCAGAGGCTGAAAAGAGAAGACATCATCTCATGGGCATTCTGTCCCAGTGGCCTCTCAATCCTCTGCCTTCTCCATTTTGAAAAATCCTCAGCAAAGTTCATTTCTGTAGGGGAATCCTGACAACTCTTCAGAGTGTCTGAGGAGAAAAATCCATGTGTTGAGCAGTGATAAATGTGGCAGGGATAAGGAGCAATGTCACCACACACTGCTCGTCTGGGCTGCAATCCAAAACCAGTGCATCCCAACACTCAGCAGTTGTCACAACCCCACTGGAACTGTCTGGTTTGGGGCCATCTTTCCTCACTCCCTTGGACACTTCCAGGGCATAGATCAGGCTTAATTGCCTGTTGCCATGCCTAGGGCAGGGCATTACTTGCAAAACTCAGGAGAAAATGTTGTGAAAACCTTTCTAAAGGCTGAAGATGTGCTGAAGATTAGTATCACCACTGCTTTGGTGCAAGGGAACCTTTCTTTTGTATCTCCTGACCTAAAAGAGGAACTGTGTAGGTAATGACTGGCATCCCCAGCCCACCTCCAGTGTTTCCATCCATCCATGCCCACATTTACCTGATGGGCATTCGCTGGAAGGGCAGTTCCAGGGTCAAGGCTCTGGGGTCTGGAGTAAGGCCTCCTGTGCACATCCCCCTCTTCTTGGGCATAGGTCTTCCTTGGGAGAACAAAGCAGGGCTGCATTCCTTCTGTCGATCTCCTGTTCAGATACTCAAGGAGTTCTGGATAAGGGCACTATCTCATTCCTTGCTGCTCAGTACCAGTTGCTATTTAGGGAGGGTGATGATGCTGTGCACATTCTTTGCTTTTCTCTGGACCTTCCCGAACTCAGCCTGAAGGTACACTCATTCAGACCCCTTTTGTGACCCCAGGATCTACTGTCACCTCATTCTTCTCTTTGTCTTCTTGGATCTCCCACCCACCAGGCATGCATCTCCTATTATGCTCTTTTCGTTCTGCATTCTCAGGCCAAAGGTTCAGCGAGATGCTCTGAAGGAAACATAATCAGGGTTGGGGATGCTCTTGACCACAGTTGTTACTGATCTCTATTACAGACATCTTATTCCATAATTGGACTCAGAGACACACCCCAGAACATGAAGTGACCTCATAGACCTACAACAGCCTTCCTTATTTTTTCAGGAAGATAATCAAGGCGCAGGAAGGATTAGACTTGCCTA